CTGTAGTTGGTGCTGACCCCCTTAGAGTGGAGAACGGCAGACAAACCCACCTTCCACCTGGTCAGGAGTTTATTTAAAAAGAGCAGCAGGACATTTTTAAGTGGGCATGCCTCCTGTCTGAATTCGAGTGCACAGCTGAATATTTATGTGGTTTGTTTACATGTCGTAACGCAAGGCTGCACAATTGAATTTATCACAATGATGGCTTCCCATAGTTAACAGACCACAACATTGCTGATCATAGCAATGCTCTGCTCTAGTGCACAAAGTTGTGGAGGAAAATACGGGACAAATGTGTCCGCGATGAAAAGCAGCAGTGGCGATGCACGGGGCAATAAAGTCTATGATAAATAAATAAACAAACCAACAGCTTCCACACACAAAGATGTGACTCTCTAGATCGTCTTCAACAAAACACGTCACTCCACCTGTTGTTCTGGAGGTGAATTGCTCTGCAACACACGCAAGACTTTAGAACCATGAATTGAAACGAGTGCGTTGACGCAACGACGCAGAAGCATGCGCTAGCCTTAACACCCAGCCACGAAGGGAGGGGTACGGGGGGGCGGTGATGGATCTGCCATGAGCCTGAGCAAATCACAACACAAACTAAGTCCATCGCCACTAAACAGAGTAGTCTTCAATTAAGACAGTTTTTATCAAATCTTGCTTAAGCAAGGTAAAACATGAACACGCCTCATTAGTGAGAAAAAAAGATGCAAACATTTTCTTCTATTCAGGTTACCTTATGGGAAAAATCCAGTACACAAAAAAGGACATAATTGTGCTTTAGCATCTCACACTGACAGGACAAAATTCAACACCCCTTTCCCAGGGTACCTTAACATTTCCCCTCAAGACAAAACTACAGTGAATTTATAAGAGGTGGCCAGCACCGGGGAAACAAAACGATGCATATTCTAATGGCAGTAAAGGCCGGCGCATGCTTCTGGGTTTGCGTCGACGCACTCGTTTCAATTCATGGTTCTGCGTGTGTTGCAGAGCAATTCACCGCCAGAACAACAGGCGGAGTGACGTGTTTTGTTTCATATCAACTATTGATAATAGTTGATATGAAGCTTAACGTTAGCTTGTTTTATCTGCCTTTTGTCTTGTTTGATGAGGTTCTCTCATCCTCTGCCGGCATATCCATCCGACGGAGTGACAGTGCTTCACTCCCACTGTTTATTCAGTGATGAATTTTTCAAGTCCTTCTCAAAATTGAGAGATCATGACAACAGTCTAGTGGAATTCTGTGGAGTGGACGGAGCGGCAGAGTCCTGTTAGTTGCAACTTCATGACATTTCTTACAAAAGTGTATAACAAAAACACTGAGACTGGACTTGTACCCAACCAAATCTTAAAGAGGATAAATATGGTGACCAAAGATGAAATGAAACCGCGTTACCTAAATAGGCAACCAACACTGAAGTCAGAGTTCTCACAGTTCTAAATTTAGACATTTTAATTTGTCAGTCCAAACCAACTACCCTGCCTCCGTACTGCACGTGTCGTTTTGACTTGTTGACCTAAAGCACTCTGTCCAACTGTCATCTACGGTGGGACAGCGTGCTAACTAATTTCAGCTTGTAGAAATGATTGACCCGGCCTAGCCGCATATTTATGTCCGACCATAACTCACGCTGCTCAGTTCTCAACTGCTGCCATCTCCGGCCCTATTTCCTGCTTTTTGTCGTCATTCCTCCTTGCCTCAATGTATTCATTTAGTAGCGCTGAGCATTCAGACTTTCCTCCTGCTTCAGTCCTAAACCGCACACTCCCCACTGCACACATTGCATGTCTGCATTCTTCTCACGTGAGGTTTTCACATGAGTCCCCCGTGAGTGCTGCTTGACATGATAATCTATGCACCGCGTTTGTCTACATGAACGTGACACGTTGTCTATTTGGTTGCTGCGTGTGAAGCCTTCTGGCCTTGGATCCCTCCCGTGTGTCACACGGTCCAGACGCGCAGCCCAGGCTTCATCGCGGTGAGCTGTCCCCCGTTTCCTCCCACTTTGGGGAGTCCGAGGCCAGAGCTGGGTCAGGTCTGGGTAGGTGGAGATCTTGGCTCGTCGAGTGGCCGGCGTGGAGCGGTTGAGCCGGTTGCCAGGCGAAGACGAAGGTTTTGATTTGCCGTTTGCGTCTTTCGAGCAGCTTGTCGCAATTAGAGATGTCAGGAAGGAAAGAAACAAATATGAAGCATTTCTTCAAAGGGAATGCATATCCTTCCCATGAGTTCATTCTTTCCTTGGATTTCTCATGGAAAAGAAGGGGGCAAAAGTGCAGCCTGTTTCTCGCTGGACACGTGATAGCTTTTTGAAGGGTGTTCCACTTTGAGAAGAATAAAACAGTGCAAAGAGAGCCACCAAAATCTAGTCGTTTTGTGTTTATCACATTCAAATTTGGATCCTTTTTTGAAACCAGTGACCGTCCCGAGCGGTGTCTCTGCTCTGCAGTACTAACCCCAGTCCCTTGAAGAAACCACATGGCGGCTCTGTTTAATACACTGCTTACATTACACATACATTTATCTGCCGTATTTTTGATGATATTTCAAGGAGCAGTAGTTTGCAAGCTCTGGCTGTGTTCTCCACTGCCTCAGACTCGCAGTGCCAAGTTCCCCCACTCTCCCTCCCGGCTGTAGGTGGCCCATGCAGAGGCCATCTGTCTCTCCTCCCATAATAGTAAGGGTGGAGTCCTCTTTAACCCCCCATTCTCTCTCTCTTTTCCTACTTACTCCCAAATGCTTACAGTAAAACAAACAGAACATAGCATAGATGGAGTCTTGTTTCTCTGTATGCTTTGCGAGTCCTGAAAGGTGACACAGGGAGATGGACAAACTATGTGCGGGAGCAGTTGGGGTGTCGTGTCAGGTGGCTGCAAAATGTGGAGCATGTCAGTTCGTAGCCGGGTCTGAGCCACGTGTCTGCACTCCGCATGCATCAACACGGTGTCATTCATGCCATGCACGTAGCAATCAGAAAATCAGCGGCCGCAGCAAGAGTCTCATCAGCGTGACATTTATAGTCTACCATATATGCATTTAGAGATATAATCGCACTTGCTTTTGTCGTGGTATATATTTTGCTTAAGGAAGACTACAGAGTCACACTGCAAAGTATCAACAAACAGCTGTTGTGTCAGCTCAGATGACAGCAGAGCGCAGAATGCAAAACCCACATGGCTCTGACTCCGACCCCCCCCACCCCCCAGGGCACCCAGAGGACTCCGGCAGACACTATGCAAACACATGCACTGCTAAGCACATTATAGCAGTGTGGGCTTTTTGTCTTTTTTTTTTTAAGACAACGTCATGAATAACAGGTGGGAATGTATTCCTAAATTATTTCGCAGGAATAATGCAAAGGGACTTTCCCAAATTTCTTGGTTAAATACTTTGGCTCATTAGTTAAGCAGCCCAAATACAGTGCAGATAAGATTAGGGCACACACTAGAGAAAGGTATCCGAAAAATACTTTTGAGAATGCGGGAAGAGAAACAAAACAAACAGGAAAGCCCAAGTATTATAGCACAGGATGAGCCTTCACAACACAATGCAACATTTAGCACTCTGCAGCCATTCAAACAAAATGCCTTACACACATGGGAAGAGACGCACGTTTGGATGAGAGATTGCGTGTGCCTGTGTGTGTGTGCGTGCGTGTGCGTATATAATCACTGAAATTACAGGGGACGTAATGGAGCACAGGAGCCTACCCTGCTTTGGCTTTATTCCTCACAAACCAAGATAGCATTGCTGTGGCGTACCATTCAAATTCATGCCAAAGACTCAAAATACCAGCCAGTGGACCACTTATAAGCTCTACCCAGTACACATCCGAAACTACGTACAAAGTGGAAATTTATGGCTCCCAAATATAGCTTACTGCGCGCAACTGTGTCAATACTACTGAGGCGTACTGTTGGAATATTTTGAATGAAATCAACTTTTTACACAAATATTTTCACACGGTCTATGTTATTATTTATTCTACAATTCACTTTAAAATTGGTTTAGCCTGTTCATGTACGTTTCAACATTTTATCAAAGAATCATCTGTTTTTAGGATTTTTTTTCAGGTTAGGTTTGCAAGAAATTATTTATTTTCTTTTCTTTTGTGCTTTTTTCTAAAACCTGTTTATTAATGGAATCATGCATTTTGATGTCCTTACATTACATTACATTACATGTCATTTAGCGGACGCTTTTATCCAAAGCGTACAACATACAGCAGAAGCACAGGTTCTTCAGTGTTCATATTGTGTTGTTTGTTGCCGCAAGCACAATGTTGTCTCATGTTCATCTGGTCTAGACTTGCTTTTAGTAGTTATAGGATTCAAATATCCATTAATACTCCAAACTCAGCTTCAAAGTTGCTTTACTTTAAAGTAACTCAAATTAAAAAAACTAAAAAAAAACTTGTGGGCTTCAAGTCAAATTAAGGGCCTTATTAAAGAGGGGATAGAACCATAAAATTACTTGTTTTGTTTCATCTCCTTCCAGTGAGTTTTTTTTCCTATCCGGCTTAAAAGGTGCTCTGATGATTAGCAAGACGGACAGTCTGAGTGTCCCGCGGTGAAAGTGTGTTGCTTATTAAGAGGGAGAGCAGAGCACTCAGGGTAACCCAGATGTTTCCCTTTTTAACCCAATGAAAAAAGATAAAGCTTGGATTATGGGAAGACTATGTCGATGATGAGCTGCAGAATTATTGTAGGATACACAGGTACTGCCACTTGTTGAAGGATTTGCAGTTTTAATCAAAGCCTCCCTGATGACACATCCCAGCTACTTTTGGATTTTAATCTCTCCTAAAGCTCCCACGGTGGATGGGAAAGAACTTTCCGTTTGGCGGATAGATTTGGATTCTCAAATACATTTTCCTCAGCTGCCACATGCCGGAAAACAAAAAACTGTAATCTCTGAATCCAAATAATTAAAGCATCAACTGTGACTCGTCGGTCGTCAGATTCTCATCTCTTTCCCGTTCTCTCAGCAGGCGTGAGCGGTAACCAGGTGATTGTTCCTGAGAAAGTGAATGCGGTGCTGGGGAAGAACATCACGCTGGGCTGCAGAATCGAGGTGGGCTCCAACCTCACACAAAGCTCCTGGGAACGGCGCTTGCCTTCGGGCACCATCACCCTGGCGGTTTTCAACCCTAAGTTGGGAATCCACATCCCTCCTGACTTCGCCAAGCGCATCTCGTTTGTTTCCCCCTCCGCACGTGACGCCACCATCACCATCGAAGGGGCGGGCTTTGCAGACGTCGGGTCCTACACCTGCAAAGTGGTGACGTTCCCTCTAGGCAATTCGCAAGCATCGACCTACGTTAAGGTGTTAGGTAAAGTACCGCTCTGTCACCTCTTTATTTTCATTGCATTGAGTGCTTCTTAAAGCTGGTATTTCACCTCACTTTTCAAACCACGGCACTGTTAGTTGTGCTTAAGCAAAGCCCAGGTGGCCGCTCTGTTCAGGCCACAGCCTGTATATAAGCCTTTATATAAGCTGCTGTGGTGTGGTCCCTTCTGTTTTAACTCAACTAAGTAATTTAGTTGCATGTAACAAGTTAATTGCAGTGTGTTGATCAACTCTTGTGACATTTAACCCAGCTGCAGGAGGAAGTTTTATGCACAGCAACACTCTTAACTCTGCAATCTGCAGTTATGTCCGTCAAGGCGCTGATCATTTCTGCCATGAATACTTTTTGTCACAGATTATGAAATCATACCCTGAGTTAGTCGTTAGCGTTTCTGAAGCTCTCCCATGCACTGGAGGAGCAGCGTATTGGGAATCTTCGGCTTAGAAAATGTGCAGTAAGATTCTCTACTTTTGGGCATCTGCACATTTAACGCACCCATAAGTTGTCTTTTTTTAACAATGTCATTTGTAGTCGCTAATGAAGGCCCCCAAAAGTTAACTATAAGAAATGTACAACACTACATCAAATACGCACTGTGTGGCTGCAATACATTCTAAATGGGGATTCTCATTACCATTTTCTTTTTTCTCAAAGTATTGCATCGACACACTGAACGGACTCCTCTCCAAGGACCATGGACGTGTACCTTTCTCTGCGGTCAGCGTATGTTTGGAGCCCTAAATTGGTAGTGGGATTGCATTCGAGCAGCGCTGAGAGAAGTAGATTGCTCTGTAGGCAGTAGTTTCATGTCTCCACTCCAGAGACTGGAGCAAACTCTGATGACTAATGAATGTACGTTAAGAATTCAACTCCACCTTGCTCCACTCTATCAGGTATACATTTGTTTTTCAAATGATAAAAACGTTTGCCCTGGATTTAGCTTGGAGCCCTTGATTTCACTTCCATTCATTTTAAATGAACTAAAGCAATTAAAAGATTATTTGATTAAAACGCCCAAACCCATGAATATCAAACTCAACTCACGACACACATAATGATGACCAGGCGTTGTGGACATTGGCTCATTTTTTTAAGTAACACTTTGATATTCCATCATGATACACTCGCACACTTTTTATTTTGGCCCGGTGCTTTCTCGCTTTCCTTTTCCCTCTTGCGTACACAGCATCTCATAGAAAGGGCCCAAGCTTTTTAGGAACAGCTCAGCAGGAAGTTCGCTGCAGTACGTGAGCCAAAAGTCGGCATCAGCAAGCAATAGAAAATAGGCCAAGGAGGAAGTTATGACACGCCAAGTGGATGAATTAGGATGAACCTTTTGTTGACAGTGCCGGATGGTGAAGAGGAAATCTAATCAAGCAATTCAATTTCCTGTATGTGACACACATGAAATTGGCAAAGCAGATTTTATTGATAAGCTTTTGCGTATGATCCTACAACCATGAACTGCATTATATTTGAGTGAACTGTTCTGTTCTTCAAGTAACCATTAATGCCACCTTTTTTTTCCTGAGTCATACAATTGAACAATTCGCCCCACAGAGACGTTTAAAGTTGCTTATTCAGCTAAAAGAGGGACATATTTATAATGGTTTAGTTTCTCCTTTTCAGTTTATTTAAATGATGGACATCTTTTGCTTACTTTTTTTCTTGTGTTACCTATTTGCTAGATTTATCTCACCTGCTTGCCGTGTGTGGCTTCCTTTGCACAGTTAACTATAGTCGTTTTAGTTCCTTGGCTTTTCTTCCTTTAAGCATCAACTCTTTGCACAGCATCCAAAATCGAAAAAATAAATAAAATGATAACTGTTTATTTCAGTAACGTCATCAATCATTACACCAAAGAGACCGTTTTAAATTGTAAAAATGCCAATTTATAGATTTTGGATGTTAAATCTTATTGTAAAAATGTCCAGACGTGATGCATTACTATCGAACAGATTGTTAAATCGCTCCTTCCAACGGCTGGCCGCTCTGGCATCGGTGTTCATGTACGTAGGCGGGAAAGGGCCGATGCTGCCAGTCGGCTGAAGGAAAATCGTTACCCTTTCCCCCTGAAGCATTTCCACTCATCCCGAGCGTTCCCCTCCCTTCCTGACAGCAAATCCAAATTAACACGTCTCTCTGATTTAGTTATTCTGAAGCTTTGGCCAGCTCGCCTCGTAACATAGAGCAGCTACTGTTTATAGCCGGCGTGTTACGAGGGGCACGGAGAGGAGAGCGAAGAATGTGAGGTGGTTGGCTGAGGGTCCTGTCCCCGCCCCTGCAGCGGCTCCGGGAGATGCTCGGGTTATTTTTGGGGAAAAGGGGGGTGCCAGGAGTTATTTGAACTCGTCGCTGGACCTCTGGCCTCGACTGGGGAGAAGTGGGGCAACAGATGTCTTTAAGGTGATGGTCTTGTGGATTAGTCTGCCGTGTGCAGCCGCCCCCCGCCTCCGCCCCCTCCCCAGTGTCTTTTAAAACGGTCACCATTGCAGTAAGTGTGACAGCTGTTCGTTTATGGGGGAGACAGAGAAGGAAGAGGCGCTGTGCTTGAAGACAAAGAAGCACACATTAACATAAAGGGAGATTGTAGTAATGGTGTAAGTGTAACCTGTGTAGCCAGTTGACTTCAGAGTACTACTACAGAGTACAGACTACTGCACCGCCTCATGCATTCTTATTGGCTGTTCGTCAAACGAAGAACTTTTTTTGTTGTTGTTTTTTGTTTCTGCCTTCCCCAGAGCACCGCTTGAATGACATTATTATAAAAAGTATATTGTTGAATTTCTGCTCAACGAAGCCACACACACAGAGCTTAACCCGCCTCTAGATATGTTCTCGGCCAGTGCAGCTAAACAAACGGTTTTGTTGCTTCATGCTACAGGTACGGGGTTGTGTTTTTGGGGTTCACGTCCCTCCTGCATGGATCTGTTTTGCCTCTATTGAAAAAAATCCCTGTTCATTCCAAACTTGCAGTTATTCTCAAGAAGCTGGTTTAACGTTACAATAACTGAGCTCCTCATCTTACAATACACCGAGTCGAATAAAAACTCATCACTATGTTGATTTGGGATATACTTCTTTCCCCCAAAAATAATAATAGTATACTGTTAATACTATGGAACCTTACAGTAGGATCAATTGATTACTCATCCTGTAACACACTGTTTGTTATAAAGACCACTCAGTCTCCCCTGAAATGCCATAAGATCGAGCAGCATGGCTCATTAATTTTGAATGCTTATATTAGAAATGGAAGAAAGTCAATCTGGCAGTTAAGTGTACTAAGGCCACTTCCTATCTGTCCATAAACTGTATGATGGACATTATTTATTCATATACATAGTGAAAAGGATCAATATTCATTATATAATCTTTTTCCGCCTCCCCCCTTCCCCTCTCTCTACCACAGTGGAGCCGAAGGTCTACGTGTCGGCCGGCCCCGCCGCCCTGCTGGCCGGTGGGAACGAGTCACTGGTGGCCACCTGCATAGCGGAGCGCGGCCGGCCCGCCGCCGAGGTCTTCTGGGAGACGGAGCTGTACGGAAGGAGTGAGAAGCAAAGTCAGGACGAGCCCAACGGCACCACCACCGTACAAGTGCACTACATGTGGCAGCCGCAGAGCTACGCCCAGGGGAAGGTGCTGACCTGCGTGGTGCGGCACCCGGCCCTGCAGACGGACTTTCGCATCCCGTACATGCTAAATGTTCAGTGTAAGTCCTACAATACATAATCATACCCCTTTCTTTGTTGCTAAGAACTGTGATATGTTTGATAAAGTGCATCTTTCACAAATTAGTTGTTCATCGGCTACAGAGGAAGATGTTTCTTTTCATGAAATGAGCGGCAATAATAAAAGTAAGGAAAGATATGCTGTTTTCTTTGCACATTGATCCTCCAAAAACACAGAAGTGAACCACATACACTTATTTGCTTATTAATAAATGTCATACAGTTTCATTTATGCTTCTTAAAGTTGCAATAACACAAATATATAATCAGCTGCCTCGAGCTCCACCTCAAAATGTTCAGAGAAAAAAAGTTTTACTCTGAATGTTTTTGTAGCTTCATCATATCTGCGTCTCTCTCTGGCTGCTCAATTATCAAATCATGGAGTTTAGTGAAACTTCCTATTGTATTCATTAATACACAATGTTCCAAAAATCATCAAGATTAATAATCCTAATCAATTTAGGTGGCAAAGTAACGGTTATTATAGTTTTAATTGAGCAGCCCTAACAGCCTCAGTATATCTTATCGACATTAACCCGTGCTGAGCTTGATTTATGAATAGCCCTGATCACTACCTTTCCCTCCTTTACTACAAAGGGGCCATTTAAGAGTCATCTTAATGTTATAATCGTTGACGCATACTTCCTTGACGAGCGGTGCTAAGGGAGCTTGGACTGTGAGTGCAGGCTAATGAAGGTATTTCATGAAATATTGATCAGGCTTCAGCAGCAACACGAGTAGCAGGGGGGTTGCTGGGGGCAGCGGATGGAGACGTGGAAAAACAAAGGTTATAAACAGGGAGAAAGAAGCTTTCCAGCTCAATAAATCATGTCAAATGCAGAGGCAGGGGAATGTAAGTGCAAAAGAAGCACAATTTCAGCGTTGAGCTGCATGAAAAGGGTCAATGGGCAGGCTGAGCTGAAGCGTCTTCCTGCGTGCTGTAATGAGTTTCTCATTTGTCCTCCAGAGAAATCAAAAGGACATATTGGATGCCAGACTCTGTGTTTGTCATGTTTTATTACAGTGGCATGTGCAGCGCTTCATTGAGGCCTCCTGCTCTCCTTTGTTTTGTTCTTAGTCATGGTGTGGCAGTCGTATTATTAGCCGCCGCTACTGTCTGAGTGAGTCTGTCATTTTCTAACTTTCCACCGAACTAGAGAGATGTGTTTGTTCTCTCGGCTCTTGTTCCCCAGCAGATGAACCCTGCTGCAGTGCTGCACAGCCTTTGTTTTTGTCATCGCTCTCTGCTGTGCTCATAATGGACGCTTTGTTCCTTCTGTAAAAGCTCATTTGTCATCAGGCTGCTGGAATCACAGTGACTGATTATTGAGTCCTACTCTAATATCCCTTTTAATAATAATAACAAAGTTACTGTTGTAAAATAATAAAATACATCCTCTGAATTGGTAAACAATACAAATGCTTTACATCGTAACCTTTTTGTTTTATTTTGTTTTACAGTTGAACCAGTGGTGTCAATAATAGGAATTGACAGTAATTGGTATGTGGGTCAAAAGAATGTGAAGTTCATCTGTGGAGCTAAAGCCAACCCACCTGCTCGTCACTTCACATGGACCAGGTCAGTATCCCCGTGAACTTCTCATCATAAATACAGGGGGATCGACATTCTATCACAGTTAAACGAAGATGTGGCGGCCGTCTCTGTCCAAAATTCAGGGACACGGCTGTTCACACAACCATATCTTTTGCAGCCCTTGCTAAGTTGGTATTAAATCCTTGTTAAATGCTCGATGATCCTTGTTAGATGATCCGTAACCCTTTAGACTTAAACCGTTTTCTCTTTGTCTAATAATTGGCAGCTAACGTTGAATTAAATGGCATGATCTGGACCATTGAAAAGTCATTGTAGAATGTAAATAATGGACGTCATTTTGTAGTTTTTGATGGTTCAAATACAATCTTACACAGTTAACTGTGGTGTGACAAACCGATCTTCTGTTAAGTACATAATGGCAAATTCCACATGAAGGATCAGCTCCTGGTCCAGTGGGGTAAAAATAAACCAGATTTAAAGAAACTCAAGCAGCAATGTAAAGAAGATTATTTCTTCAAATCATCATCGGCATGACTTTTGGAGCCTTGGCCCTGAAATTGTCAAATGTGCTGCTGCACCGATCGGGGAGAGTCCCTGTTATAAATACAATGTTCCAAACAGTTCACCCATCAGAGCAACACTTTGTGAGTTCCAAAGCGGTCACGTTTCTTGTTTTTAAAGCAGGATGATGACAAAGTCTGCACAGTAAACTCGTTTTTCTAACCCTTCCTTTTCCTTTTAATGTTGAAACCTTGCGTGCATGTTGAAAGCGTCATGTGTCGGTCGGTCATGTGATCATATGATATTATGATGATATGATAGTTGCAACAGGCCTATCAACGGGAGAGTCGGGACAACTAGCACAACAGTGACATCACTGCATCACTGAAGTCACGGCTAGATTTTTCAATTATACTTTGAAAAATGCAGCAATAACAATGCGTTTTACTTAAGATTAATTTATCGTTTCCATTGTGCACAGGTTGGATGGATTGATGCCGGATGGCGTTGAGAAATCAAACAACAGCTTTTCATTTACTCGCCCGCTGGAGCGCAACGACTCCGGAGTCTACCGCTGTGAGGTGATCAACGACATTGGGCTCCGCAGTCAAGACGTGAACCTCTGGGTACAAGGTAGCGTCTCTTTTTTTCCCCCTCGGCTTACATAAAGTGCTTTTGTGTGTTTCATTTTTAACCCGTCAGCTGCCTTAAATAGATCGACTTTAACACCTGAGGTTAAAATAGCAATCTGTGCCTTTGACATTCAGCGTGCCTCTCTGATGTGAGATTAGCCTCTAGGCGCGATCAGTCTTCAGTTCAACACTTCCTCACAGCACTGAGGCTCCGTATGAATGTCCCAGCCCAGATCCACTTTCACACATTCCCGGCAACGTAGGGGCACGGAGTGCAGATAAAGAGTATCAGTCCCAAACAGTTCCAGTGTTGTGGTTTTGGCAACATCAGATTTCTCTGATAAGAGAGAGGGTGTTTACGTCTGTGGGTTCAGCAGACTATGCACTTTGTCTTTTCTTTGTTTAAGATCAGCTTTCTCACCGGGACTTAATGAGTTGTTTTAACATGTGTTTGTAAGTGTGTGTATGTACTCCAAACACTTTGTTTTTAAACAGTTTTTTACTCTTGTAGCTGTTCTCTTTGAAATGTTCATTAGTAAATGAAAACTATAGTGGAGGGAATGTCCCTTGAAAAGGGGTTTCCCTGCGTTTGGGTTAGTTCTATTACCCCGTGTCAGAAAAGTCCCAGGATGATGGAGTAACCGTCTGCTTCCTCTGTCTTCCCATGGTTTTCTACTTGAGGTCATGACTGTAAAGTCAGGGTGTGAATCCTGAGAACTCTGCATCTCTTTTTGTTTTCATTTCTCCTGTGCTCTTTTTTTAAGATCCTTTTCCAAACACAGAAACGGCTGCTTTTGGACACAAACTCTGCTCACACACACACACACACACACACACTCACTGTCAAAAGGAAAGAGCTGGAGAAGTCAGAAAAAAAGGCTGTCAGGCTCCATCTGCGTGCAGGCCCGGAATTGGAGTCTCGCTCCAAACGAAAGCACAGCTGACATCCTGTCTACGACAGACTTGCACTCAGCAATTATCTTTCTCCACTCGTCAAATATTAAGACTGAGGCATGCGGCCGCTCACTCCCATCCCCTGTGGAGATAGCCAAGTTGAGCTCGGCTCCCTTCCCTCCCCCCTCCGCGGCTGCTCGCCTTAGCTCTTACACATTTCCAGTTGTCTGTGTGGCCTTGTGGTTTATGGTTGCCTGCCTCTCTCCGAAGATCAGCTATGCGATTAAAAGATGCTCAGAACCAGACGTGGATTTAAAATGTCGCAGTGCGGGGCGGGATTGATGGGGACTGACGAAGGGAACCTTTGCCAGTGTATCAGTTCACTGACCTTGATGCATCTCCATTATCATCTTTCAGGCTTTCTGCTTTAGATCCTTCAGGCTCACAGAGAATAGGTGCGGGACTCTTTCTCGGTTACACAAATTGTGGAAATCATTACAAGCACCCCCCCCTCCATTTGATAACTTGTAGCCAAAAACCATCCCGGAGATGCAGACCTCCTATTAGTGCGGCCTTTTGATGTGCCTGTACCAAGATCAGCGAGTGGTATCAGGCGGCTCTTAACCCCTAGGGGCCGGAGGTCAAAATGGAGACTGCTCTCCTGACCTTGAGCCTCAAGCAGACCTCTCCTCTCCGGCTCTGGCTGATATCACAAACGCCAGGCCACCAGAGGACAAATCCGAGGCAGAAACCTCACATCGATCACACAGCGTTTCATCTTCTCACATGACTTCCCCACAGTGGGGGGGTTGAAAGAAAAGGGGGGGGGGGGGGTCACGCTCGCTCTGATGCTTATGACTGCATGTCCTCTGTCTTCCACATTTAGCACTTGACCTCGTTCTGCCCCTCTCATTTCCTTCTTTTTGCTTCACGGCACAGCTTTCAACACGGTCTTTATTCTCTGCATTCTGTTCCAACACTGCGTCCTGTTGATATAACTTAATCTAAAAACCATTCAAGGGCGCCATTACAGAACATAAAGTGAGGTATTTTTCCCCTTGATTGTCATGACTCCTGCCTCCATCTGCCGTCATTTCTCTCTGTCTTAAATCTTTTCATCACTCATTGCCTCCGCAGATCCTCCGCCCACCACGGCGGCCCCCAGCACCACTGCATCAGTCCTCCGTCACACCACTGCAACAGGCACTGCTGTGGACCAGCAACGAGCCCTGTTCACCTCCCCGACCCTGGCCTCCTTACACGACAGCAGCCTGGGTACCATTGTGGGCGGGGCTGTCGGCGGAGTCTTATTCCTGATCCTCTTGCTGATCCTCTGCGGAGCCTGCTTCATGCGGCAGCGCAGGACCTTCAGAGGGGACTACTACACCAAGCAGTACCTGGGACCCTCCGACATGCAGAAGGAGTCTCAGCTGGACGTGCTGCAGCCGCACGAGCTGCAGGAGGTCTACGGGGACAAGATGAGCAAAGGGAGCCAGGAGCTGAAACCCAAACTGGGCGGGGACATCATTTACCCCGACTACACCCCTGACCACAAGGACAGGGACGACTGGGCCGACAAGGGGGAGGCCCACAGGGGCCTCAAGGAGGGAAACTTCTACCCGGATCATTACAACAACCAAAACGTGCACCCCTGCGGGCCCCCTGTGCACGGCCCCCCAGTGATCAACGGCTCCCCCTACCTCCCGGAGGACTGCTATGACAATGGCACAGACAGCGACTACGTGTCTCACATGGACGGGTCGGTGATCTCACGCAGGGAGTGGTATGTTTGAGGAGCCGAGCGGAGGGAAAAAACAGACAAATGAACCGACTGACTGAGAATGATTTAACCAGTGAGACAGAAATATCATTAAAGGATGAGTAGGAGCTCTTTGAACAATACTGCTCTGCCTTGATTGTTACCACTTAACCTTAAGGACCATGTTTGTGGATTGTATGACACTTTTGACGCCTTTCAAGGAGCTGCAAAAGATCTGCAACCTCTCTGTGACGCTATGTGTGCAGGCTTAAGAGAAGTTTCAACTGACGTGAAGGAGGTTTTGTATTCTGCTTGTTTGTGTTTGCACCTGTCTTAAACACAGGTCAAAGGTCAGGTGTTCCGCTTCTTGTTAGTGAGGTATTTATATGCCCGAGCTCTGCTCCCATATAACTTTACGACGTGGCATTTACATAACTTTTTATTTGATTTACTTCCAACGATTTCATTCTGTTAAATGGTTTATCATGGCTGCAACCAGTATTTAAAGTAAATAACGCATGCGTTTTCTTAAAGCAAAATGTATCTACTTAAAGGGAAGGTTTGTCATTCACACGATTAAAGGGAGACTCAGACAGGCATTGTTCTGAGGGAAAGCAAACTGACTAAGTGCATTACAAGGAAAAGTCCATGTCAACCGTTGGGTTCTTTGGTTTCTGTAGCTTTTGTAATCTTACATCCTCTGTAAATTATTTCTGAAATGGTACACCTGACACAGAGAGAGGCCACTCACGGTCAAAGTACTTTCAGCTTACTTTCATCGGTTTCACAGATATTTCAGTCCTGGTTGATTTGGTGCCTCACATGATTAGTGTAGTAACAGCTGCTGTGGTTTAATACTGCCGCAACCTTTGAGCAGACGGGAGGAGTGAATCTTGGAAAAAAAAACACATGTTCCACTGACAGAAAAAAAACAACCCCAGAGAATTACTGTAATCTGGTTTTGGTTTTGTTCTTAATTTTATAAACAGTCTCAGTAAATGCTAATCATGAAAAATACTTTGTTTTCTGTGGGCAAATAACAATAAGAGACCCCCCCCCCCCCCCCCCCCTCCCCCACCGCCTCTGTGCTTGTTTACATGCATGTATTGATTCCTCTTATCCTTGCCGCTACCAACGACATAATTACTGCAGAAATGACTTTTGGCTTTGGGTTATTGAAATGTGTTAACTTAGTCACTTTCTTGCAGTAAAAGAAGCACAACTCGGTTATTACAGTTGTCCATGAACATCAAAGGAAGCCGACCAGGCTTTAAGCCTCTCCACTTTTCCATGATAACAGGGTGTCGTCGTCCCCCACCGCCTGTTTCGTCTGATTTCCATCTGCACACAAACACCAATTGGTCATTACAGTTTTTATTTTAAACGTGGGATCAAAGCGGTGAGTTATAAATTCCAGATGCGACAGTCACAGCTGTCATCGTCTAACGTTATGTGGCTCCATAAACCACCACCAGTTCACTGCTCCCGCTCCACACTCCACAGGGCCGCGATTCATGATGCTAAATAAGCCAAATAACGGAAAAAAGGGCACTAATAAACCGATCTTTCGGCTTTATTAAGTAAGTGTTTGAAGTATGATTTATACCACACAGCGAGTTGGAATGGTTGTGTGCGGCTGAGATCACCACTGATCACAGAACAGGCTCTAACGTTGGGGTTTGGCTCCTCTGAGGATACACGGCGATCATGGAAACTAGAAACTTAATCCATGAGTGAAAATAAAAGAAGGCTTAAAGGAACCATATAATGCTAGAGCTGTCCATGTAATACCTCCCAAAGGGATGTTTCTTTTTTTTCATCTCCTACCAACAACAACAGACCCAGTGACGTTCACTTGAGACAAAAGCGTTGAGCTCATCGATGATGTCATCTCTCGCTGCTTCGTCTGATCATAGACTTTTCCACTTCTTTTTGTGTCTTTTCTGTTGTTTCCAGCGGAGCTAAGCCTCGATCAGAGGGACTTCATGTGTAAGGAAAAGCAAAAGCGGTATTTGGAAAGATCCCTCGTGTCACTACATGACAGAACCAAATACTGTATAATGGGTGGGAGCACGTTCTGAGTTATTTGTTCTTATTGGGGTTTTCTAGATTGTGGGTCATTTTTAAAAAAAAACCTCCTCCGCCCTCGTGTTCCCATGCCAGGGCTTTGGTTGAAAGATTTAGATGTCTGAGAATAAACTACTTTAATCTCGCTCTCACTCGTCGTTTACACGCGCACCCATCCCCCACACATCTGCGTCACATCTGCGTCATATCTGCCATCGCAGTCCACATTCGAAAAGTAACTTAAGTTAACTTATCTCACTTTACATTTAGCAAGTGCCCAAAATGTGTGATTATATAGCACTCAATCTGCCATTCAACGGTTGTCTCTGCGCCGAAGATGGACGACTTCTTTCAGCTTCTGTACATCTCTGAAGAAAGTTTGACAAAAGTAAAAGTCATGAATGTTTTGTTATACTTCTGGATCACTGACTGACAGGTTGCATGTAAATTATTTGCTATCTCCTTTGTTCATTTATCTCATCACTAATGCTTATATACATGTACATCATGCTAATAGGTTAGCATAGCAGTTTGATTCATGTGCTCATGTACAGTTTGTTCTGGACTCCCCTGCTGAATAGTTGGTGCTTTAAACAGGCTGAGCAATGCACAGGAACTTCGAAAAACAGCAATAGTGTAAAGAATATCAATATCGTCAAAGAGGAGGAACAACGGGTCTGTTTCCATGTCTTCCATCTACATATTTAAGATTTTCTGTTACCAGAGTTGACAAAAGGTTGTTTGTCATGCCTTATATACTTTAAAAGACAACTGTAACAATTTAGTTACTGACTAAGAAGTAAAGTTTCACTGGGAATTTAGACATGCCAGTCTCAAAGAAAATATTGTCCTGTAAATATGCTGGCTTTTTAAAAAATGTTATTATTAGTTTTTTGTTGCAGCCTGTAATTAGTTGGTCTCATGTGCATTTGAGAGATACTGTAGTGAGTCTGTTTTCACTGCATTTTATATTTGTTCTCGAGAGTTTCTGACCAATTATTTTCTATGTTTGTTTGAATGATTGATGTCTCACAGGAATCAGATGAAGGTGCGGTAGATTGTATTTTGTTTCTTTGTTTGCAATAAAAGACTTGCACTCAAATGTTTGCTGGTATTCTGGTATTTTCAGAGAGCATATTCTTGTTCTTTTGTGTTAATATAATATTTGAATACCTACACCCTTTTGAGAGCTTTTCAGATAGAAACAGTGTACTGTAGCTCATTTTATTGCATTACATACTTTAGCAATAATTGCAAAAGATGTTACAATTGATAAACTTTTGTCAACACTTCTAAGATAAGGGTAAGAGTTTGGGTTAATGAAAATGTTGATCAACTATTGAAAACTGTTCAAACTTAGGCAGTTTTTGGAATACAACTGGAAACTCCAAAAAGGCAAGGAAAGGAAAGGCAATTTTATTTGTGTAGCACATTCCGACAATTTAAAGTGCTTCACAAATATTTAAAACATCCAAACAGGGATTTAAAAACAGTTAAGTAAATTGATCGGAACATAAAAACAGTCATTAAAACTATTAAAGAGACAATGTAAATCTAAAATTAGAATAAAACTATCAGTGTAGAGTACCGAAATTCCGAAATGGTCAATTAAAGGCAGCAGCAAACAGAAAAGTCCTTATTCTGGATTTAAATGAGCTGAGGGACTCCGCAGACCTGAAGCTTTCTGGGATTTTGTTAGAAGAACTAAACGCTACTTCTCCATGTTTAGTTTTGACCCTGGGAACGGAAATAGGCCAGTCCCAGACGACCCAAGACTTTGTGGCGGTTCAAAGGGTAGCAGCACATCAGAAATGTACTTGTGTACCTAAATGTACCTAAACCATTCAGTGTCTTATAAACCAACGGCGGGATTTTGAACTCAATTCTTTGTTTGACAGGATTCAGTGTAAAGACCTGAGAACTGGCGTGATGTGATCCACTTTCTTGGTCCTAGTGAGGACTCGAGCTGCGGTGTTCTGGATCAGCTGCAGCTTTCTGATTGACTTTTTACAGACATGTAAACACACCATTACTGTAGTCCAGTCTACTGAACATAAATACAAGGACAAGTTTTTCCAAATCTTGTTGAGACATAAGTCCTCTAATCCTTGATATATTCTTTAGGTGATAGTGGACATTTTTTAACATCAGTAACTGAAGCACAGCGCTGACTTTCAAACATTTTAACATCCTTGTTACCAAAAACAATTACTTCTGTTTTATCTTTGTTTAATTGAAGAAAGTTTTGACACATCTAGTTGTGGATTTGTTAAATGTATTTACCCAACCCCTATATTGGATTGTAGTCCACTGGTGATATAGTTGTGTATATTTGTGTGTCATCTGCATACCTGTGATAACACACTTTGTTTTGAAGCATGTCGATGTTGAACTGAAGGGGCCCCAGTATTGAACCTTGGGGAACACCACATGTCTCTTTCTTTAGCTCTGATGTGTAAATAGCTACAGGCACAAAGTATTCTCATCCTTTCAAGTAGGTTTCTAACCCATTAAGTGCTGTGCCAGAGAGTCCCACCCAGTTGATTAGTCTGTCCAGTAATACGTCATGGTCGACAGTGTCAAATGCCGTGCTGAGATCCAGTATTACCTAGACTGAAATTCTGCCATTGTCCGTAGTGGATTTTGTTAAAAAACCTTAACAAGAACAGAACAAGTCAGCACTGTGGAGTTGTCGAAAGCCTGACTGGAAGGAATTAAAACTCTTTTTAACAGTAATTATGCAGTTGAAAAACTGCCTTTTCAATTATTTTACTTAAAACAGGCAGCTTTGATATTAGCAAGTTAATTTGTAGAACATGTTGTAGATTCAGTGTTGTCTCCTGAAAAAGCAGATATGAGAAACATTGAAATCGGTTTGTTGTAATCAATAAATTGTGGTTTGAAGTGTGAGGCTTTCCCAGGTTTTCCTTCTCTTGATTAAACACACAACTCTTGAATCAAAGGGTTTATTCAAAATACTATTTCCGAGGAAGAAGGAACTTTGAAGCTCATATCCAATCTAATCATTTGTCATTGATCATGAGCATGTTTTTGACATTTATAGACAGGAAACAAAAGCGACCGATTGATGATTCAAATAACAGTGACTTGCATCCATGAATAGATGGATTGCCTTTTCCCCCCCACAAAGTAAAGATGTTTTGGTCTTTCAAGCTAGTGGCCATCAGTCTCTGTCACGTTGTGCCTCTTCCACTGTCCACACCTGTGATGGTAACTAACTGACCCATTTGACACAGCTCTCCATCCCGGCTAACTCAGCACCCTCTTCATCACCGGTTCACAGAATGAAGCAAGTGAGGCTACCTTTTTTTTTGTTTTCCCATCACACCTGCATCGACAACGGGTCCGCTGACCACCCACAACCCCCTTCTGTCTCCCATCAGCCCCTCAAGGAGATGTGTCTCCTTGAATATTGTGGACTTATCGCACTCAAATTATGCCCACAAAACGTTTACGAAG